AGAAGGGCTATAGAATGCTGCTTCATTATGACCAGTGCTTGAATCACTGAAAAATACTGTCACAAACGAGCTGTTTTAAAGAAACAAGGTACTTATGAGGATTAAGTGACAATATATGTAAAGTACTTAATACAGTGCCTCGCACATATTAGATGTTCAATAAATATTAACTATGCTTATTATTTTTATTAGTAGCAGGAACAAAGGGAGAAACCTGAATAAAATGGTTATGATAGTATTACGTCACTCCTGTGCTTAAAAATATCCAGTGGCACCTCACTGACTACTGAATTAGGTACAAAAGCCTCCATCTGACCTTTTAGGATGCAGGTCTACCCTTCCAAATAATATCACCTAATGGTTTTCAAATAACTATAAAGTTCACATAATGTCACTATTATTTTATACTCTCCCAAGACCATAACCACACTGACACTTTCATTTCTGGAATTAAGGCATAGTAAATAAGGTGAAAATTATCTAGCAATAAAACACACAGAAATGCTGGATAAAAAAATGACAACGTCCTTTTAAATGAATAGCTAACCTCTTAAGAAAGTAAGGGAAATCTCCAATAATCATCGCAAAAAAAGAACCAAAACTTAGGTTGATAAGTATAAACCCAAAAGCATGTGCCAATAGGGCATTGTATTTGAACAGCCACAGAGGGTCAGGTGGCTTAGGCCTCGGTAAGAAAGGGAATTAGAATGGAGACTTCTGTGTAATGTAAAGGCCCTCACTCAAAAGGTGGACTAAAAACCAAAAAATCTTCTATCTGCACAGGGAAATAACAAGGAAACTGGAAAATAAACTGGTACTGGCTCTGCATGGTTCAGGAACGCTTTAATATAGAAGTGAACATTAAAAAACAGTTTCAAACTGGTAATGCTCTTTGGGTACCGGGCCGAACTGAAAGGAAAGCTATGCAGAAGAGATACATCTTCAACTTTGGCCCTTCATGAGTCCCATAGATGAAACCTTGTTTAAGATAACTCATAATCCAAAATTACAGAGCACATGTAAATACAACCTTTGAAATTACAAACAGAATGGACAAATTAAACACAGATTAGACACAGCTCAAGAGAGAATTACTGAACTGGAATACTGATCTGAAAAAATTAAATAAAAGGCAACACAGAGAGGTAAATGATGGATAATATAAAAGAGAGGTTAAGAGACATGAAGAATAGATGAAGGAAGGCCTAACCTACAGCTTATAGGAGTTCCAGAAAGAGAGGACAAAGGAAATGGAAAAGAGGCAATATTCAAAGAAATAATGACTGGAAAGTTTCCAGAAATTATGCCAAACATAAATTTTCATACCAAGTAGCATAAATAAAAATAAATCTACATTTAGATAGATAATACCGAAAAAATTTAGATACATAATACAGCCCTAACCTAAGATATTTTTAGATGAAAACATCAAGTTTACCAATAATTTAAAGTACTACTAAAGAATGTTCTTTACAGGGCCGGCCGAGTGGCGCATTGGTTAAGAGCTGGCTTGGGACGCTAGAAGGCCCCAGTTCGGATCCCACATATGAGAGCCAGTGACACTGCCCTCTACAGCTAAGATGCTGAACAACAGCTCAACCTGGAGCTGGGCTGCTGTGAGTAACAGGCGACAGCATAGGCTGCAGCCCCT